ATGCTAATCTTCTCTGTATCATTCCAATTTTAGTATATGTGCTGCCAAAGCGAGCACTGATTTAATAATATCTTTGTTTTCAAGTTCTGAATTTTTCTATTTTTCTATTACTCTTCTGGGAAGTATAAATTCTGTTTGTTATGTTTTTGCTTTTTGAAACATCTCCATTAAGTAGCAGAGAAATTGTTATTTAAAAGTAACAGGGAGGGACGTCCAGCTGGTGTGGCTCAGTGGATTGAACATTGTTCCAGGGACTTATAGGTTCTTGTTCGATTCCCCATCAGGGCACATGCCCAGGTTTCAGGCTTCATTTCCAGTGGGGGGTGTGCAGGAGGCAGCCCATCGATGTTTCTCCCTCACATCAATGTTTCTATCTCTCCCTTCCTCTTTCTCTAAAAAGTCAATAAAAACATATTTTAAAAAGATAATAATAAAAGTAATGGGGAGAGGCAAGAAGTGGAAGGGAATTGGCCTCTCTCTCATTGATAATTGTTAAAATGCATTTCTCTCTTCCCTCATCTACATATTCCCCATGTACATTATTTGCCCATTTTTTCACTAGTCTTTTTGTTTTCATCTTTTTAATTTGAATTGCAAATATCCTGTGACTCTTCAAGCCCATTCAGATTTTAGTCTTAGCTGGGATGTGTCAGCACAGAGATATTCACAAACAAGGGTATCTGTCCCTGAGACAGGTGTCATGGAAACAGCAGACAACACAAAACAAATGGTCTGGAAATGGTAGGCTTTTCCACAGACAGGGCAATTGTTTAATATAATTAATGATGATAAAAGTATGTTCTGGAATACTATGCAGCTATTGAAAAGAATGAGCTGCATGTACACATGTGACATTAAAATATTCCTGTTTTAAAAGTAAGCAAGATATTTGCATAGGCATGGAAGACTGGGAGGTTTACACCAATGTGCTGAAACCAACATTCAAGGATCAGATTCCAGAGGCTGAGGGGCAAGTGTTCACTTTTTTTTTTTTTTTATCCTCACCCGAGGACATTTTTCCATTTTTTGTTTAGGTAGAGTGGGAGAGAGAGAGAGGAAGGGAGAGAGACAGAGAAACATTGACGTGAAGGGACACATCGAGTGGCTGCCACCTGCACGACCATCCAGGGTCGGGGACAAACTGCAACCGACGGACGTGCCCTTAGCGGGAACCGAACCCGGGTCTCTCTGGACCACAGGTCGACGCTCTAACCGCTGAGCCAAACCGGCCAAGGCGCAAGTGTTCACTTTTAATCTGTTCACCACATACTGTGTGCCTAGTAACAATGACCCGATGTTCCTTTTATAATGAAAAGAATTCACAAATTAAAGAAAACTTGTCTGGGTGGATAACAGAAAAAATAAATAAAATAAAATTTAAAAATTTTTCTCTATTCTTAATGTTTGAACTTTTCTATAAATAAAATATGTAAGTAGAGAGAAACCTTGCTACTGTTTAGTTGAAACTAGAAATGAAAATAGGTAAAGGCACCAAGTTACAAGTTCATAGTCTGCCTTCTGCTGTAGAGATTGCACAAGAAATAAATTTGTGCTCTACTGGTTGAACAAGAAAATGTCACCCAGGCAGATTGACTAGGTCAGCATTCAACCTGGTTCACTGTAATAAGAAGAAATCATACATGAGTATTAATGTTAGGGCATCAGCAACAACTTTATTTTGTAGTTGGTTAACTTATTTTGTAATTGGTTAACTTAGGTACAATTTCTTCCACATCCCAAAATATGCTGAATGTCAATTTTAATAGACTAAGATTTGTTAAAGATTTTTTAAAAAATAGTTTCATCAGAAACACCAGGATTTCTGAATATCATAGAAACTATGATATTCAGTAGTTTTACTCATATCCCTGTAGCAATAAAATTCTGCCATCTGTCCTAAATGCCCATTTTTATTTCCCTTTACATAAAATTAAAGGAGTTGTCAAATGCCTTTCAGAAAAAAAAAAAGTAAAAAAAAAATGGACATAGTATACATAATAGTCATGAGTCTGAGATTTTGTGCATATATTCATTGATATAAATCACTCTTTTCCTGCCTATCTTTTGTAACTTTCTGGTTTTCATTTTAAGTTATACTTTCCCATTATATAATATTTTAGGGCACTCACAACCCACTGGACTTATAACTTGCCATGTCTGTCCCTCCTTAACTCAGTAAAAAGTTGACATAAGTGGAACCATTAAAATAGAGCTAGGGCAGCCATTCCAGAGGAACTGCCTTGCACGTCTTTTCCCCCAATCCTTTGAAATATTTAAACTGGGCCAAATAACTCTTGAACTGGGCTAAACCAAGATGTATTCCAAACATTGTACAGCTAACAGGAAAGAAGACATCCTGACGACAAGGACTGAAAATTAAGGACAGTTTTTAGAATTAGCACTACCATGTGCAGCTATAAAGTAAACTTAGCTTATTAGTACCAATGGAAAAGCCTTTCTTCTATCCAAGTAGTTATTTCCCTTCCCTTTTTTATAAAAAACCCCTTCCCTTCACCCCATAATCAGAACACTATTTGGGTTTCTGCCTGAATCAGTATTTCCTTAATAGCTATTCTTTGATCTTAAGTAAATGCTTGTTGTCTCTCACTTTGGCTTTTTATTTTTTAAGTAAATATCATCATATTTTCATCTTCATTCTCATTTTCTCTCTCCTGTTAGCCAATTTACTAGTCCAAGGTACAGATGCATGTTCAAGGACTGTCTGGATCTCCAAAGTTATAAATCACAAATAGTATAAATTTGAAAAATTCAAATAATGCTGGCAAACTCTACCCTTAACTGCACTCACCAAAATGAAACAAAAAAAAAAAAAAGAAAAGAAAGAAAAATTACTCTTTCTTAAGCCTCTAAAAACATTTTCATAGAAAGCAGACATAGAGATACCTTGTAACCTCTTTTTAACTGTGTAGACTTTTCTTTCTTCTTTATTTATTTTTAATTAATTTATTTATTTTTGTTACAGATGTTTCTCTTTTTTCCCCCATTGGCACCCTCCTCCCAATCCTGTCCTCCCACCCCTGCCAGCATTATTGTCTATGTCCTTGTTTACACACACATGAGTAAAAGTTCTGTGGTTTATCTCCACCTCCCCCCCCCCATGTCTACCTCTTCTGAGGTTTGTCAGTCTGCACCCCATTTCCATGTCTCTGGGTCTATTTTGTTCCTTAGCTTGTTTTGATCATTATATTCCACAAATAAGTGAGATCATGTGATATTTGCCTTTCTCTGGAAAATCTGTTACTCTCCAGGGCCTTCCATGTCATCTCAAAGGATAAGAGATCTTTGTTTCTTACAGCTGCATAGTATTCCATTGTGTATATGTACCACAGATTTTTTCTTCACTCATATGTTGATGGACACTTGGGCTGTTTCCAGATCTTAGCTATTGTAAATAGTGCTGCTATGAACACAGGGGTACATATATTCTTTCTGATTGGTGTTTCGGGCTTCTTAGGGTATATTCCTAGAAGTGGGATCATTGAATCAAATGGCAGTTCAATTTTTAATTTTTTGAGGAAACACCATATTGATTTCTATAGTGGCTGCACCAGTCTGCATTCCCACCAGCAGTGTGCTAGAGTCCTCTTTTCTCCACACCCTCGCCAACACTTGTTGTTTGATGATTTGTTGATGGCGGCCATTCTGGCAGGTGTGAGGTGATACCTCATTGTTGTTTTAATTTGCATCTCTCTGATGATTAGTGATGTTGAGCATTTTTTCATATGTCTCTTGGCTATTTGTTAGTCCTGTTTGAAGAGGTGTCTATTTAGGGCCTCTGCCCAATTTAATTGGATTATTTGCCTTCTTTTTTTGAATTGTATGAGTACTCTATATATTTTGGAAATTAATCCCTTATCTAATGTATCATTGGCAATTATGCTCTCCCATACAGTGGATTCCTTTTCCATGATTGTTTCTTTTGCTGTGCAGTCTTTTTAGTTTGATGTAGTCCCATGTGTTCATTTTTTCCTTTGTTTCCATTGCCTTAGGCATTGTATCAGTGAAAATTCTGCTGCCTGTGATGTCTGAAATTTTGTTGCCTGCACTGTGTAGACTTTTCAACTTCCAGACTCTTTGTGTCTAATTATCTTTATCTGTTTTTTATTTCTTGGTTAAAAAAAAAACAAACTATTTGCCATAGGTAAATCCATTTCTCACCTTAATAATGATGCAGAGGAGAATACAGTGTGCCTAAATGGACAGACATTAAAACAAGTACAGGCTTTTGAAATCAATGTAAATATTGTATCTCAAATGTAATTTTGAAAGTACTAGTAACAAAAAAAAATTGTAAATCTCTTAATTATAATGAAGATGAGACTCTTGGGGCGGGGGGACAACCCTGAAACTACCAAACATGGTGGCTTCAAGAGTTAGAGCTAGAGGGAGAGGATTGGCAGAATCCAGTCCAATCGAACAGAAGGGGAAGGGAAAAGGCAGGGAAGAAGAACAGGTCATATTAGTGGCAGAGTAGTTAACAATACACATGGTTTTCCACCCATGTTCTAGAACCTCTAAGGCAGAGATTTTTGGTCGTGTTCCAGGCACTCTTTTTTAGGACCTGCACTGTTGTGTCTGCCCCAAGATCACTCCCGCCTGGCTGATAACGCCGAATCCCTAAACTCTTTCAGGTATTTGCTCAATGTCACCTCCATGTGGCCTATGCCGAATACCGTATTTAAAAGTTGACACCCTCCCAAATCCTTTCCCCATTTCTGATTACCCCATGTGACCTATTTATGTTAGTCTGTCCATTCGCTCAATTTATATTCCTTTGGACACCCCTGCCAGTCGCGGCTCCTTTAAATTTTGTAGAAAAGGGGCGGAGCTACCGAGGCCCACCGAAGGGAGGAGCATATCCAGCCGTGGGCTCCGTCCCCTTACGCAGCAGGCGGCGGTCGGCCGCGCGCAAGAAGTTCTACTTCGCAACGGAAACGCAATTGCGGACGGAATTACCACGTGATCGTGACGTCAGTGCGCCCGCGCCGGCCTGTCTGACCCCTGCCGCAGTCGTGGTTTAAGTGCTTCACACCGCGTTGTTGTGGCTTTTCGGGTCTCTTTCTCCTTCCCGGGCTTGGTTTCTGGCAGAAGAATGTACCACAACAGTAGCCAGAAGCGGCACTGGACTTTCGCCAGTGAGGAGCAGCTGGCACGACTGCGGGCCGACGCCAACCGCAAATTCAAATGCAAAGTGGTGGCGAACGGGAAGGTGAGTGCTTTGGCGGCTGTCCCGCTCTCCTGACCTCTGAACTCTTGAAGGGGTGCGGGACCCCCGCCTCTCCTCCCCGGGGCGCTCTGCACACCTCCTCGGCAGCCTCCGCGGCCCGCGGTTGTCTGTTTAATAAACAGGCCACCACCTTGCCAGGTGCTGTAGATGAAGAGACGGACAACGCCACTCCTGTGGTTGAGTGGCACACAGCCAGTAGCATGGCGAAGAAGCGACTTTGTAGGGTGTCAGCGTAGTGCGGGGAAGGCTTTTCCCGGTAACTGATGCAGAGAAGGTGGGGAGAGGACTTTCCCGGCGGACAGAGCCACAGGTGCAAAGTGGGAGGCCGGAAGGTGCAGGGCGGGTTCCTGGAGTGCTGAGTCCTATGTAGTGGAAGCTGAGCATCTGTGCCGGAAAGGCTGGAGAAGGCAGGGCATTTGTAAGCGGAAATAAGGAGTTTGGATTTTATAATGAAGGTATTGAGAACCTTTGAAAGATTTTAAATGACAAATTAACTTTACCAGAGTCTGTATTAGAAAGAGTCCTCTGGTGTCTTGGTGGTGAATGGATTGGTTGGGGCAGGTTGGAGGCAGGGAGCCAGCCCAAAGACCCTTAGTACTGACCAGTTGATTTAAGATGGTTTGGATTATGGCCTGCTAGCCAAGTTATTTCTATTATTAGCTCCCAGCCACTTCTGTTTAATATTTTCTCACAAGCTCCAACACCCACTGTAGTACTAAGCTTCTCTCTAGTAAGTATTCTGTGCCTCAGACCTATTAGAACTGAGATACTTTCCTTTTGTCGTGTGTTTTGGATCATTTTAACTATGTGCAGCTCAAAGTAGTACATATTATGCTGTTTGCCAGGTACCATTGTAGGAATTTACCAAGTGTTACCTCTTTTAATCCTCACAGCTAAGGAAAGTCAGGTACAGAAAGGTTGAATAACTTCTCAAGGTTATATTGCTAGTAAGTGGCAGAGCTAGGGTTTGACAGACCCAAGGAATCGAGTTTCAGCATTCTTGCCCTAAACCACAATTACATGCTGTCTCTCTAAAATTAGTACCTGTGTTAGTCTCTTAGAGCTTCCATAGAAATTTTTGCCACAAACTGAGTGGCTTCAAACAACAGAAATTTTTTGTTTCACAGTTCTGGAGGCCAGAAGTCTGAGATCGAGTTGTTGGCTCATTGGTCTAGGAGAAGATTATTCTTTTCCTCTTCAAGCTTCTGGTAACCCCAGGTTTTCCTTTGCTTGTGGCAGCATAACTCCACTCTCTACCTTCATCTTTATGTAGTGCTCTTCCTGTGTCTCTGTATCTTCACATGTTCATACAGGGATACCAGTCACATTGGATTAGGAGCCACTCTACTGCAACATGACCTTACCTTAACTAATTACATGTGAAGAGACCATATTTCTAAGTAAGGTCACATTCTGAGGTACAGGCATACCTCGTTTTATTGAGCTTCACTTATTGTGCTTCACAGATGTGTTTTTTACAAGTTGAAGGCACAACCCTCCACTTACTATTTGCTTTACTGTGGTGGTCTGGAACTGAACCTGCAGTATCTCCGAGGTATGCCTGTATTGGGGTGTCAGGACTTCAATATATCTTTTATTTTGGTAGTTGTGATTAAACCAATAGCAGCACCTAATAGATATTTGTTGTAAAATTGTATTTGTAAACCATCAAGTATATTTTGTAGAGAATTTATAAAGATAGATTAGAGGTAATGTTTTCAGAGTCAGAATTTCTTTGAGACACTTGGTTTTTATCTCAACCTGTATGACTTCATGACTGACTTAGAAAGGGGTCTTGAAAACTTTCCTACTATTAACAATGTATATGTTCTTTTTTATTTCTAAATAACGAAATCACACCTGTGAGCATATGCACACACTCTATCAGTATTGCCTGTACCTTAATGAAGCAAATGTCCAGCTGACATTCCGAGAAATCGTGAAATGGTGGTATAGTTTTAGTTTATTAACTATTTTCCTAAAGCTATTTTATGTAATATTTAACAATTCTATAAAGAGAAAATGAGGTGTGGTGTATTTCACTTTGGCTGGAGATATAGACTAATCTGGATAGAGAAAAATATTTTAGGATCATTTAATTTACTGAACTTTTGTTGTAACTTTTGACCTGAAGGTTCTTCCAAATGATCCAGTCTTTCTTGAGCCTCATGAAGAAATGACACTCTGCAAATACTATGAGAAAAGATTATTGGAATTTTGTTCAGTGTTTAAGCCAGCAATGCCGAGGTCTGTGGTGGTAAGTTATGGTAGTGGTGAAGTATAATGTCCTTTGACTGACTTCTGAAATATGACCTTTTCTAAATTTGTAATTGATTCCTGTATCCACTTCACTCAGGAATGCAGCTTAGTTATATAAATATATAATTTATATATTTACATTTTTGCCACATTTTTTAATAACAGTCTTAAATTATGAATTTCTGTGTCATATCTTATAAAGTGTTTCAAGTTTCATTTCAGAGTCAGAAGAATTTTGAGGTCTGCTAGATAGACCATGACATCCTCACTGTATAGAGAAAGAAAAAATTAAATTACGTTTCCTCCAGGTTCTCAATTAATGCCTAGAACTGGGACCAGAATGTAGACTAGTGATTTTTCAACTGGATCACACACATGTTTGAAATAATGCAGTTATTCATCATTTATGATAAAAAGATTCCCAGCTGAAGCTCATGCCTGAGAAATTTTTAAACCTGATTAGCAGAACCTAGAGATTTTCTTTGGGTAAAAAATTGCCTTGTGATTGTTTCAGATATATAGTTCTGAGAACCCCGTGTGTGTGTATGTGTTTGTGTATACCACGTTGAGGCAATGGTGGGGAGAAACAGGTAGTTAGAATTTTTTGGTTATATGGATTTAGATACATTGTCCCTGTAATCCTATTGTGTATATTCTTTTTAATAAAAGAGAAGCTGAGATTAAAAAGCTGAAAGAGCCCTGGCCAGTTTGGCTCAGCGGTTAGAGCGTTGGCCTGCGGTCTGGAGAGACCCGGGTTCGGTTCCCGCTAAGGGCACGTGCTTCGGTTGCAGTTTGTCCCCGGCCCTGGTTGGTCGTGCGGGTGGCAGCCACTCGATGTGTCCCTTCACATCGATGTTTCTCTCTCTCTCTCCCTTCCTCTCTCTCCCTCCCACTCTATCTGTACAAAAAGTGGAAAAATATCCTCGGGTGAGGATAACAAAAAAAAAAAAAAAAGCTGAAAGATACAGAAAAAAGAGGGAGAAGTATAAAATATTTTTTTCTTATTATCTTACAGATATGTTGTGAAGATCAAATATGGAAGTATTGAAAGTCTATCTTAAGTTTTAAAGTCATACAGAGTGAATAACTTATTCACTTAGGACACAGTAGGGAATAAGCCCCTAGGACATAATCTCCATTTTTATAATTGAAAAAATGGAAGTTTATTGAAAATATTAAGACCAAAAGTATTTGTAGTATCTTCTTCGTTTACCAGACCTTTATCCGAGAGATCAAAGATTCAAGAATTTTAGATTGATTAGTTTCTATCTCCAGATTTTGTCCTGTTTTTTTTTTTCCCCTGATAAAAGATCTATAACATAAAGTCATAGATTTAAGTGAGCTTTTCAGACGAAGAAACTGAGTCCTTGAATGAACTTCTTTTTGGAATTTGTCATTATACAATATGCTTATTCATAATTGATGAATAATTTGTTTTTTTGTTTCACATAAAATGACATAAAATATTTAAAAGGAAATATTCTTTTTAAATCATGTAATAGGTAAATGTTTATTTCATTGGTTCTAGCCAAATGACATAGTGGTTAAAAGTACAGGCAAATCTTGGTTGAATTTAGCTCTGTCCCTTATTAAGATGTGTGATCTTGAACAAGTTAGTTAACCTCATTGATAGTGTTTCCTTCTCTATAAAGTGAAGATAGCAGTGCTTCATCAGCTGTTGTAAGGATTAAAATAAGATGGTAGTTTTGTGCTTCGCACAGAGCCTGGCACATGGGTGCAGTCAGTAAACAGTAGGTGCTGCTTCTACTGTTTGGTTTGGCAGCATCTATCATGGTTAATATTACAAATCTGGAGTAGATTTAGAGAGAAGGCGTATTTTTTTTATAGCATTGACTCATTAAGCTGTGAACATTAGAATTTTCCTCCTTAATTTTGTCTAATTTGGGCCACTTTAATAAGCCAATAACCATAGGAAGGATAACCCAATAACCATAGGAAGGACAACAAAAGGTCTTTTGGCTGTGGTGTTTCTGTAATACTTCATAATTTATTTTGATTAAAGAAGAATTAAGTTTTGGTATTTTGTATGAATGATTTTTTTAAAGAAACTTTTTGAAAATTAAATTTATTGGGGTGACATTGGTTAAGAAGATCATGTAGGTTTCAAGTGTACATTTCTATGATGCATGCTCTGAATATTGCATTGTGTGCCCACCACCCAAAATTAAGTCATCTTTTGTCACTGTATATTTGACCCCCTCTACTATTCCCCCACCTTCCCTTCCCTCTGGTAACTACCCTACTGTTGTCTGTGTCTGTGAGTTTCACTTTTATGTCCCACATATGAGGGAAATCTCATGGTTCTTAGCTATTTCTGAATGACTTATTTCACTTAGCATAATATTCTTAAGGTCCATCCATATTGTCACAAATGGCCATATTTCACCTTTTCTTTTGGGTAAGTAGTGTTTCATAGACTATCTGTACCGTATCTTCTTTATCCAGCTCTATCGAAGGACAATTTGGTTCTTTTTGTGTCTTGGACACCATGAATAATGTTGCAGTGAACATAGTGGGTGCATGTATCTGACAATAAATGCTTTTGAAGAAACTTGAGTTTTATTTTTTAAAACTAAATTTTATTATTTTATTTAAAAACTAAATTTAACATGTAATATACGTGTCAACACATTCTGATAATATATATATATATTTTTAACCTTAGGGTACAGCTTGTATGTATTTTAAGCGTTTTTATCTTAACAACTCAGTAATGGAATATCACCCCCGGATAATAATGTGAGTATAAGTCTGTCTAATTTATTGATTTTTATTTGAGAAGATCTTTTACTGCTTGAGAGTGTGTGTGTGTGTGTATGTGTGTGTATGTGTAAATGACTTCCTAGTCAAAGATAATTTAGACTTGCATTCTATTTGAACTTATTATCCCTCAGTATACTCCTTTGTATATCTGTAATACTTTCCTGTAATACTGATGGCATCTGAACTTTAACTTGTCCAAATTCATATTATGTGTTTTTTTCAAGCTAGGTCCTCTAATACCCCTTTCTGTTAATGGCACCTTTCTCTCAGTTTCTGACTGAGAATCACTAGTGGTAACTCTTCTCCTCCTACATCCAATTAGTTTACAAGTCCTATAGGTCCATTCATTTAGACTGAACAAAGGTCTTTGTGTTTCTTCTCTCTGCTTAGCACTATGCTTATCATTAAAGATAAAGTTGAAAATAGTATGAGACTCATCAGAGAGCTTGCTGTCAATCACATTGTCCCTGTTTTGTTTTGTTTTTATCCTTTTCATTCCCATTTCTACCAATCTAGGTCAGGCCCTTGTTACTCCCAGTCTTGATTTTTGTGGTAATTTTATTACTAGTTTCTCACTCTGAAATTTATGTGGTAGTGATGAGAATTGCATAGGTTTGTTCGGAAGTTGATAATCTCCTATTCAGATACCCTTGGAGACTTCTACTGATGGGCCTTCCACAAAGGTATTTCTTTAACCTACCTTTTCATCCCATATGGTACACGTGTGTACTGTTGTATTTTTTTTTCTCTTCCATCTATATTTCATGATACAAAGGACTCCTATTCCTCAATTATTTTGTTCTTCCAGATATTTAGGTTGAATTATATGAAACTGCCATTAAGTTAATAATGGTTGAATGCTGTGGCAGCACTGTACAGTTCAACCTAATTTTATAGTCTCCTATAGATTAAAACTTTGAATGGAACTATATCTGTCCCTCTCTCTTTTTAAATAAAATATGTGATGCCTGCCATAGTTACTTGTGCATATTAGGCAATTTTGGAAGTACTTTTAGAAATTAAATATTTAGATATTTTTCAAAGTATATACATTTACCTGATGATATTATGTGTGTGAGAGAGAAAATTACTTCCTAGTAAAGGGTAGTATGTACAGACTTGCATTCTTTTCTGAATTTAAGATCCTCATTATATTCTTTATGTTTTCCTCTAGGCTCACTTGTGCATTTTTGGCTTGCAAAGTAGATGAATTCAATGTATCTAGTCTGCAATTTGTTGGAAATCTGCGGGAGAGTCCTCTTGGACAGGAGAAGGCACTTGAACAGATTTTGGAATATGAACTTCTTCTTATACAGCAACTTAATTTCCACCTTATTGTCCACAATCCTTATAGACCGTTTGAGGGCTTTCTCATTGATTTAAAGGTAATCTTGTTGATATAAAGTAAACTAATAGAGTATAGTCCTTTGCTATCATTCTGTAAGCAAGAGAATCCAAAAAATTACCATAACTTTTAATTATCTTAATTGTCGCAACATGGGCTCAGCTAAAACATGAGTGTGATCTGGTCCTCTAGGGCAGTAGTTGTCAAACTTCATTGTGCATCAAGAATCACTGGAGTACTTCTTAACCACTGGGCTACAATTCCAGAGCTTCTGATTTAATAACTCTGCAAATACAGATCTAGGGATTATAATGAGGACAAATTGTGAGTTTAGAGAGATGCTTTTAAAAACTTAGGTAACTGCCCCAGCCAGTTTGGTTTAGCGGTAAAGCGTTGGCCCACAAACCATTGAGTCACTGGTTCTATTCTGGCCAAGGGCACGTACCTCGGTTATGGTACCAGTCAATGTGTCTCTCTCATGTCAGTGTTTCTCGCTCTTTCCCTTTCTCTCCCTCCCACTTTATCTGAAGATAAATAGAAAAATATCCTCGGGTGAGGATTAAAGAAAACAAAAACTTAAGGTAACTTATAACTCCGTAGTATATTGTCATGGATCTGATTTAAAGAACCATAAAAAAAAATTATTTTAAACTGGAAGATTGTTAAGTGACTTCTAGTTTTAGTGCGTTGTGAACTGGAATCAATGTGTAGACTTAAAAAAAAGTAAGTAAATAAATATCAACGAAGCAACTTAAGTTATTTTGTTTTGACCCTGAAAAAGGACTTGGATAATCTGAGTAAAGTCAAATGAATCCGAAACTGGTTCATTCGTCTAATTTGAAAGGTGAAATTTGGGTACCTTCTATATGCCAAACATTGTGCTTGATAATGAAGCCAGGAACAAAGCAGGAACAGCCTCAACATTTATACGCCTTACAGTCTAATGGCAAAAATGATCACATATTCAGTGTGCTAAGTGTTACAGAGAGGAAAATACAGGACGCTTTAGGAGGAGATGATAGAATGAGAGGAAGGAAAGACAGTTCTGAGAAAGTGTCATTTTAACGTGAAGTTCATAGCAAGAGTAGGAATTCAGTGGTGAAAAAGCATCCCAGTAGGATTTCTGTGGTCAGAGGCCAAGATTCAAGAACCATAGTGCGCTGAAGAACCTAAACAGCTTAGAGAGAGAGGGGAAAGCTGTCACAGAGTACTGCCTGAGTGGAAGGCAGAGCCAAGACTGGAGATGATGTTAAGGATTCTGAATGGAGCAATGGTAAGCCAGTGAAAGGTTTAAGTCTGGAGAGTGTCAAATTAGATTTACATCTTTGAATAAATCATGGTTGCAAGCTCATGCATCAATCTCCATCAAATATTTATTGCACATCTGTATGTGTCATGATAATGGGGAGAATGGATGAAAGGATACTATGGTGTTAGTTTGATGTAGCAGCAGGGGGTACAGAAAGAGCTTATTGGACTTCAGAGATAATAGGCAGAATCAGTAGAGCTTGAGGTTTAATTGTATATATAGAGAGAGGACAGGTGAGGAGCCTCTCCCCCCCCCCCCCCCCCGCCCCCTGGGTTTCTGTCCTGAGCACATGATATACTTTCTGATACAGGAAGTATTGACACAAGAGAGAGGTGTTGACGGTGGAGGGGTGAAGGATTGATGAATTTGGTTTGAAATATGAATTTCCATTGCCTGCAACACATCCAGGTGGGTAGTCATTTGTATCTGGAGGTCAGAGAAAATGGCTACATTTGGGCATCATTGTCCCAGTAAAACAAAGTGGATTGACCACAAGGACCATTTAAAGAGTAGGTAGAGGAATATAAGAATCTAGTAAGAAGACTGAAGAATATCCAGAGAGGTAGGACTTCCTAGAGAAGTGCAATAGAGTAGAAAACTTTTAGAAGATGAGGAGGGGCAACTCCCCACTCCTACTTAGAATTTAGGCAGATTAAAGGTATATGGATAATGTTCACTGGATTTAGTGCCAGAAAGATCATTGGCGATCTTGGTGAAAGTAGTCTCTTTGGAGTGTGGAGGGAAAAAGCAGACTGGAGCCATTTGGGGAATAAATAGAAGGTGAGAAAACAAGTATGTGTAACTTGGATGAGAAAGCTTGTCTTTGAAATGGAAAAAGAAGATGGGATTATTTAGAAGATGGGAGAACTGCTGGAAATAGAGGGAAGGGGCGGTTTTTTGTTTTGTTTGTGGGAAGAAACTGATGTGGGGAGCTGATAGAGAAAACCTAAAGGGTAAAGTGGAAAATAATGTAGCTCAGGTTTCTCTTTGGAGTAAGGTAGGAGGATTGGCCTTAGAGAATAATCGCTCTTTTAAGGCAGGGAAAAAGGAAAACATGGATGAGGATAGTATTATGTCAGGGAATTTGGTAGTAGCAGGAAATAGAGAGTGTCTGTCTTTGTTAAGAGCAGAGAACATTTTCTGAGAAGGATGAGGGATAGAGTTTCTGAGAATTTTAAAGACCTTGAGAGAGGTGGAAAATGTTTAACATAGTCACTGAAAAATAGAACAGATTTTCTATGGAACATAGTTGGGCAGTGTTGAGAGCCCTGCTAAGATCAGGGAACCTAAAATTATAATAATAGTACCAGACCTCTTGGTTGTATTGTTTTTTCTATCAGCACCAGAAATCTGGGTATGATTGCAAGCAGAAGGTTTGTTGAATTCACCTGTTGAAGTTTTGTCAGAAATGTGTTGGCAGCATATTGGGGTAGGGAAATCAGGAGGGAAATAAGGACCAGAGAACTCTGGTGAGTAGGAGCAAGTAGAGCTATAGGAACCAAAGAGTCTAAGGAAGAAATCAAAGAATAGCTGTGAAATAATTGAGCAAAAGAAAAAAAAAAATGTTGGGAAAGGAGCACTGTGGTTGGAGTAGAACTTCTTGTCTTATCCTATTAGAGGTCACAAATTTTGGAATAATGGAAAGACCTGGGTGTGACTACACAGTTGTTATCTGATATTTTGTTTCAGGTTATAGAAAAGATTTCTTAGACCCGGGTTCGGTTCCCGCTAAGGGCATGTAATTCGGTTGCAGTTTGTCCCCGGCCCTGGTTGGTCGTGCGGGTGGCAGCCACTCGATGTGTCCCTTCACGTCGATGTTTCTCTCTCTCTCTCGCTCTTCCTCTCTCTCCCTCCCACTCTATCTGTACAAAAGATGGAAAAATATCCTCATGTGAGGATAAAAAAAAAAAAAAAAAAAAAGCCCTGGCCAGTTTGGCTCAGCGGTTAGAGCGTCGGCCTGTGGTACAGAGAAAAGATTTCTTACTGCTTCTGGACCTGAATATGGATATTTACAGTAAATCCAAGGATTTAGGGCTCATTTTAAAGGATATAAATTGTCAGAAAAACTTTCCTATTTCTTAGGCATATTCTAAAAATAATTCTGTAATCAAACCAAGATTTATTTCCATTTGCTTCTTCACAAAAGTAAAAATTAAGTAGAGGAATTTCAAATCAAAATGAGGTGGTGCTTTGGTTCCTAAATGTTGTCTTACAACTGAATCATCTAAATTGCCTGAAAGTGTTTACTTGGGAGTATGTATTTCTTAGGTCAGCTTCAGACCCAATGGAATTTCTAAGAGCCTCCTTTCCCCTACTTCCTCTTGTGGAAAAGGACAAAGAGAGGGATTAGCATAAATCAGAATAGCCAAATACTGTGATGGGAACTTGAGCTATATTATTTTAAAGCATATATTTCTCATTTAACAACTGTACTTTCAGTACATTCTAATGGTGAGTACAAAGTAATCTTACATGGAAAAATTGTAACTGGGGTATAGAAAAGGAGTTACTTTTATAAAAGCATCCCGTGTTGAGCACTTTCTGGTTAATAAAATATTTTGAACTGTTGTTACTCCATTAAACCCTCATAAGTAACAATGTTTGCAAACTTTCTTTCTAGACCCGCTATCCTATGTTGGAGAATCCAGAGATTTTAAGGAAAACAGCTGATGACTTTCTTAATAGAGTTGCACTGACGGATGCTTACCTTTTATACACACCTTCTCAAATCGCCCTGACTGCCATTTTATCTAGTGCATCCAGAGCAGGAATTACTATGGAAAGGTATTAATTTGTATTTTAACTTAGATCACTCAGTCACTCAGTTTATTCCCTCCTGGAATCTGAGTTTTCAAGGGACATTCACTTTGTGAATATAGTCCTTTATATCTCCTATGGCTAGAAGAGTTGGGGCAACTGAGGGAAGAAATGAAGTCACCTTTTAAGAAAATCTTTAAAAACTGAGTACGATATTTTTTAGCTAAGAGGATCCATTTATGCCTAAAGTAGAATTAAATCAGGTGATCTTGAGAAGACTGATATAGCTATCATTATATGGCAAATGTAAAAGTTTTGTGAACTGGTTAGCAAAATGAGTGCATAAGATATGTTTGTCTTATTTTATCGTTATTCTGCTATGGAGCGTGTGGCATGTATAATTCAGTAAAGATTTATTGAATGAATAATGCTTTAGAGAATGTCCAAATAAATTGCAGTTCAGCTGTAAATAGTAATAGTTAATACATAAATCATAAATGCACAATGACAACAAGGATCTATGATAAGCACTTTACATGAACTGTATTCACTTAATTCTTACAGCAGTATACTCAGTACAGGTTAATTAAATATTATTATACCTGTATTATTTATATTTATTTGTAACTCAAGCATAGTCTAGCAGAAAATTAGGCTTTTTAAACACTTATATTTAATTTTTTTTAAGTCACTGAGGTTCTGCTTGATTTTAAGACTTTTGAAGTTCTGCTTGATTTTATTCCTTGAAATAGGTGAGGAAGTGTTCTACATGCTTGTCATCCCTCATCCATAATTTCAAAATCTATTATGGAGGCAGAAAACATAAGCAGGCATGATTTACTCTTTATTCAACTTAATGGGAATACATTTTCTTGCAAAATATTAATATTACGAATTACAGGATACTGCCCCGGACATCACTGGAATATGTAGTTTGCATTCATGGTATATACACCAGGTTACCTTTCTAAGACATGAACACTTCTGAATTTCAAAACAAATCCAAGATAAGGATTTGTGGGCTTATATTTTGTTTAATTTATGGTATGCCTCTTCTCTGCAAATACAGCTCACGAACTGTATATAAATATATACAATTAATCCCAAAGTGATTTATATGTCTGTCTAATTACTAAACAGGCCTTTATTGAGTGTTTTCACCATACACTGTACTACACTTTAGGAATATGATAACAAGCTATAAATCCTTGCCCTAGTTAAAAAAAGATAGCCATGCAAATAATTGATATTGGTGGAGTTCAAGTGGGAGGCTGCCAGTGTCTAAGGGAAGAAGGCCTCTTTTCTACAATTCAAATAACCAAATGTTTGATTAATCTGTTTAAGCATCATATTTTATAGAGTGTATATGCAAATTATTCAGCGGTGAAATTTTCCTTTGAGATACAGGATTTTTTTGATGATTTCCTTTTCTCTGCAAAAACTTTTTAGTTTGAAGTATTCCTATTTGTGTATTTTCTTTTTCTTTTGTTTCCCTTGCCTGAGGAGACGTACAAAGAGTGATGTATAAGAGTTTATTGCCAATATTTTTATCTAGGAGTTTTATGGTTTCGGATATTACATTTTAGACTTTAACCCATTTTCAGTTTATTCTTGTACATAGTCTAAGATATTGGTCTAGTTTTATTTTATTTTGCATATATCTGTCCAGTTTCCCCAACACAATTTATTGAAGAGATTGTCTTTACCCCATTGTATAGTCTTGCCTCCTTTGTCATAGATTAATTGATCATTTAAACATGGACTTATTTCTGGACTATCTATTCTGCTTTATTGATCTACCCATCTGTTTTTATGCCAATACCATGCTGTTTTGATTACTATAGCCTTGTGATATACTTTGATAGGTAGTGTGATACCTCCAATTTTGTAGTTCTTTGTCAAGATTGCTTGGCTATTTGGGGCCTTTTGTGGTTCCATATAAATTTTAGAATGATTTGCACTAGTTCTGTGAAAAATACCATTGGTGTTTTGATATGGATTGTACCAAATCTATAAATTGCTTTAGGTAGTATGGATATTTAAACAATGTTCATTTTTCCTGTCCTTGAGCTATATACTTCCATTTATTTATCTCTTTATTCTTATAATTTTCTGAGTACAAGTCTTTTACCTCCTTGGTTAAGTATATTTCTAGGTACTTTTTTCTGATGCAATTGTAAATAGGATTGTCTTCTCTTTCTGATAGTCTGTTATTGGTGTTTAAAAATGCAAACGATTTCTGAATAATAATTTTGTATTCTACTTTACTGAATTTACTTACCAGTTCTAATAGTTTTTTGATGAAATCTTTAGGGTTCTGTATATATAGTATCAAGTCATCTGCAAATAATGACAGTTTTACTTCTCCTTTTACAATTTAGATGCCTTTTCTTTCTTTTTTCTTGTCTGATTGCTGTGGCTAGAACTTCCAATGCTATGTTGAATAAAAGTGGTGAAAGTGGAACAAGACAAGGATATCTAATACTAAGGAAAACACTTTTAGCTTTTCCCCTTGAGTATGATGTTGCCTGCAGGTTTATCATATACGACCTTTATTATGTTGAGGTATGTTCCCTCTATTCCCACCTTGCTGAGAGTTTGTATCAAGAATGGGTGGTGGTTTTGTCAAATCCTTTTTCTGCATGTATTGATATGGTAGGATTTTTATCCTTCATTTTGTTTATGTGGTGTTATTACATTAATTGTTTTTGATATTGAACCAACTTTGCATCCCAGGAATAAGTGTCACTTGATTATGGTATGTGGTATGTGGGTTTTTTTAAGTGTATTCTAAGTTTAGTGTGCTAATATTTTGTTCAGAATTCTTGCATCTGTGTTCTTCTAGGATTTATAATGTCTTTGGTTCTGGAATCAAGGTAATATTGGCGTCATACTGTGAGAAAGGGACACATCAAGTGGCTGCCTCCCACACGACCCAACCAGGGCTGGGGACAAACTGCAGCCTAGGTACATACCCTTAGCAGGAACCGAACCCGGGTCTCTCCAGACCGAAGGCCAAGGCTCTAACTCTTGAGCCAAACCGGCCAGGGCCAGTCTTCGAAGATTTTATGTTCCTTGGAGTTTATCCATTTCTTCCAGATTGTCTAATTTGTTAGCATATATTTGGTCATAGTATTTTCTTATAATCCTGTGTATTTCTGTGTTGTCAGTCATCATTTCTCTTTCATTTCTGATTTTATTTATTTTGGTTCTCTTTTTCTTGATGAGTCATCTTCTGGTTAAAGGTTGATCAGTTTTTTATCGTCTCAAAAAAACAGTTCTTGGTTTTATAGACCTTTTATATGTTTTTAGACTCTTATTTCAGCTCTGATCTTTATTATTTCCTTCTACTTGCTTTGGGCTTTGTTCTTTTATGGTTACTTTAGGTATAAGGTTATACAGTTTATTTGCGATTTTGTTTCTTGAGGTAGGCCTGGATTGCTATGAATTTCCCTATTAGATTCCATAGATTTGGGGTTGTTATGTTTTCACTTTCATTTGTCTGAGGGTATCTTTTGATTTCTTCCTTGACCTCATTGTTAACCCAATTCATTGTTTAGTAACTTTTTATTTAGCCTCTATGTGTTTGTGTCTTACACTTTTCTTCTGTAATTGATTTCTACATTCATAACATTATGATTGGAGAAGATGCTTTATATAATTTCAGTCTTAAATGTGGCCTAACATGTGGTTGATCCTGGAAAATGTTTCAATTGTACTTGAAAAGAATGTATGTTCTGCTTCTTTTTGAGTGATATGTTCTGAAAATATCAATTAGTGTTTTATTTAAAGCCATTGTTGTGCCTGGTTAATCTATCTCTTGATATCATTTGGGGTGTTAAAGTCCCCTACTATTACTGTATTACTGTTGATCTCTTTACATCCATCAACATTTGCTTTACATATTTAGGTGCTCCTATGTTGTGTGTGCAAATTTTTGCCAGGGTTATATATATCCTCTTGTTGGATTGATCCATTTATCAAAATGAAATGTCCTTATTTGTCTATTGTTAAAGCCTTTGTTTTAAAGTCTATTTTGTATGATGTAAATATTGCTACCCCAGCTTATTTTTGTTTCCATTTGCATGAAATATCTTTTTTATTCCTTTAATTTCTGTCTGTGTGTCTCTTTTAAACTGAAGTGGGTCTTTGTAGGCAGCATATGTATGGGTCTTGTTTTCTTATCCATTCAGCCACCTTGTGATTGATTTTAGAGAAAGAGGAAGTGGGTGGGTGGGCAGGGGAGAGAGAAACGTGGATCAGATGCCTCCCACATATGCCTCGACTTGGGATGCACATATCCCAACTGGGTATCAAACCTGTAACCTAGGCATGTGCCTTGACCAGTAATCAAACAGGCAACTTTTTGGTACACTGGATGACATGCTATGCTTGGAAGATGCCCAGGAAAGGCCAGGTGTGAACCGAGTCCAGCTGCTGCTAGTGCCAGGCCTAGGGCCACTTAAGAAGTATGAACTGAGACAGGATATTTATATGGACAAGCCACTGGAAGCGGCTTGTGTGGGCCAACAAGTTGGGTGGGGTGTGATAGGGTCCCAGGAGATTTCCAGGGTATGAGTAGTGTTAGGTTGATGTAGACTCAGATATGGTGACTATTTACATCTGCAGGAGAAGGGCTCAGTAAAGGAATAGTAGCCTCTGCCAGCACTTCTGTCTGGGAGAAAGCTGCCTCTCCAGCCGTCGCTGCAAAGCCAGAGAACTCGGTTCTTCCTGAAGGTCTGTGGTGCCTTTCTAGCTGCTGCCCCAGTGCTGGAGCTCAGGAAGAGAGTCCAAGTAAGTCAGTGCGTGGGCCCTTTAAGAGGATTGCCTGGGACTGCAGCAGCCCTCCATCTCATTCAACCACAGTCTCTGCTGATTTTCACAGCCAGAAATTATTGGGTCTTCTCTTCCCAGGACTAGAACTCTGGGCTGGGGAGCCTGTGTGGGGCTGGGACTCCTTATTCCTCCGGGGGGACCTCCACAGCCAAGATATCCCTTGTGATTTTTTTTTTTTAGTCCTCACCTGAGGACATTTTTTGATATTTTGTTCAGATAGAGTGGGAGGGAGAGAGAGAGAAAGAAACATCGACGTGAAAGGGATACATCGAGTGGTTGCCACCCACACAACCCAACCAGGGCCGGGGACAAACTGCAACCGAGATACATGCCCTTAGCGGGAACCGAACCCGGGTCTCTCTGGACCGCAGGCCGACACTCTAACCGCTGAGCCAAACTGGCCAGGGCTCCCTTGTGATTTTTAATCACATGTGGTTGTGGGACCAGCTCGTTTTGCATCTCTGTCCCTCTTAGCATTTTTGATGTGGCTTCTTCATTATATCCTTATTTATAGGACTTGTGTTCAGCTAGATTTCAGATGTTTCTTGATGGTTGTTATATAGTTGTAATTTTTATGTGGTTGTGGGAGAATTCAAGTGCTGTGTTTACCTACTTTACCATCTTGAATGGAAGCCTCCCTTCTAATTCTTAATCGCCACACTGTGGGTGATGGATCAGTCCATTTTGCATCTCTGCCCCTTTTACCAGTCCTTGGCATGGCTGCTTCTTTCTATCCTTAGTTATAGGAATTCAGTTCAACTAGTCTTAAGATGGTTTTCTATGATGGTTCTATAATTTTGTTTTAATTTTGATGTGGTTGTGGGAGGAGGCAAAGCACAGCATCTACCTACTCTGCCATACTGAACTGAAGAGAGTAAGATAATTGGTTTTACGTTATTACTGATTTCAGAAAAGGAAAGCCCTTGTGCTGTTGTTATATTCTGGATGATGCTTTAGATTATTACTCGTAGGATGTTCTGTTGTTACTTCTGAGTTTTTTTCTTTTTCACAGGATTTAGAGCTTTATTTCATATTTCCTCATTTGACTTCTTGGATAATCTTGCTTGCCTGTGGATTTTTTTTTAAATCAAAATATTAAAATTCTAATTAAGGATTGAGTAAAAGTTGCTAACTTTAAAGTTTCACAGAATTAATGAATGTGGTCAGTTAACTCTTAGAACTAAATCTATTACCTTTATGCTTAAGAAGGAGTTTTAGGGAGAAAAAGGAAAAGAAAAACAAATTGTTATTTTGAATTACTGATAACCAGAAATGTGTTAGTTGTTAAAGGAGTTATTGATTTTCATATTTAAAGTGAACTCCTACAGGAGGGATCACATTACCAGATTGTGGTTATACTACAAAGCCACTGCAATCAGAACAGCCTGGTATTGGCACAAGAACAGGCAGATAGATCAATCTAACAGAATAGAGAACTCAAGACAATGTGCTTAATTAATATTTGACAAAGGTGGCAAGAGCATACAGTGGAGTCAAGACAGTCTCTTCAATAAATGGTGTTGGGAAAATTGGACAGCTACATGCAAAAAAATGAAACTAGACCATCAACTTACACCATACACAAGAATAAACTCAAAATGGATAAATGTAAGACTTAAATGTAACTCATGAATCCATAAAAATTCTAGAAGAAAATGTAGCCAACAAAATCTCAGACATCATGCACAGCAGAATTTTCATCGATACAACACCTAAGGCAAGAGAAACAAAGGAAAAAATGAAGAGATGGGACTACATGAAACTAAAAAGCTTCTGCACAGCAAAAGAAACAACCATCAAAATGGAAAGGGATCCCACTATATGGGAGACCATAATCACCAATGATGCATCAGATAAGGGGTTAATTTCCAAAATATATAGAGTGCTCATACAACTCAACAAAAGGAAGACAAAGAACCCAATTAAAAAATGGGTGGAGGACCTAAATAGACACCTCTCCAAAAAGGACATACAAATGGCCAAGAGACATATGAAGAAATGCTCAACATCACTAATCATCAGAGAGATGCAAATTAAAACAACTAACTATGAGGTATCACCTCACACCTGTCAGAATGGCCACCATCAACAAATCATCAAACAAGTGTTGGTGAGGCTGTGGAGAAAAGGGGACTCTAGTCCACTGTTGGTGGGAATGTGGACTGGTGCAGCCACTATGGAGAATAATATGGTGTTACCTCAAAAAGTTAAAAATTGAACTGCCATTTGACCCAGTGATCCCACTTCTAGGAATATACCCTAAGAAGCCTGAAACACCTATCAGAAAAAATATATGTACCACTATGTTCATAGCAGCACTGTCTACAATAGCTAAGATCTGGAAACAACCCAAGTGTCCGTCAGTAGATGAGTAGATTAAAAAGCTGTGGTACATGTACACAATGGAATACTATGCAGCTGTAAGAAACAAAGATCTCTTATCCTTTGAGATGGCATGGAAGGACCTTGTTATACTCAGCAAAACAGGCCAAGCAGAGAAAGACAAATATCACATGATCTCACTTATTTATGGAATATAATGAACTAAACAAACTGAACAAAATTAACCCAGAGACATAGAGGTAGGGTACAGACTGACAAGCCTCAGAGGAGGGGGTTTTGTGGGGGAAGAGATAAACCACAGAACTTATACACATATATGCATGACCAGTGAACACAGACAACAAAGCTGGGGTTTGGGCAGGGGGAAAGGCGGTAGGGTGTCAATGGGGGAAAAATGAGAAACATCTGTAACGAAAACATTAATAAATTTTTAAAAAATTTAAAAATACAGTCAACTCCTACAATAAATGATAAGATGTAACATCAAACTTAGTTGTCAAAACTCTAATATAATTTAAATAATCTGGATAGTTTAAAAGACATATAGCAACACAAGTTCTTAAAGAACTGTCTTTCTATTTTTGTAACTTTATTTCACCCAGGAGAAAAATTAATTTTTTGCATTCATGTTTGAAATGTTACATATGCCTTTAGAATTTTTTTACTCGGGCTGTTAAACAATTATGCATAAACCTCAGTAAACATTTAAATATAAAAATTATACTTTCATACAACTGTCATTTGTTCTGAAAGAAATGGATAATTGGGCTTTATATCCCTTTATGAAAAAGTATTAACACCTTTGATTTGAACTTTATGCAAATACGATGTAATAGAATTATAGAGCATGGGGTAATATTCTTACTGGTTTAAATAGCTGTTAGTCCCAAGAACAACAACTATAATTTACATAGAGTAGGTATTAAGAAGAGAGAGAGTTCCTCTTTTCCGACTGGAACCATGGAGGGTGCCGAAGAGAAGAAGAAGAAGGTTCCTGCGGTGCCGGAAACCCTTAAGAAGAAGCGAAGGAATTTCGCAGAGCTGAAGATCAAGCGCCTGAGAAAGAAGTTTGCCGAAAAGATGCTTCGAAAGGCAAGGAGGAAGCTCATCTATGAAAAAGCTAAGCACTATCACAAGGAATATAGGCAGATGTACAGAACTGAGATTCGAATGGCTAGGATGGCAAGAAAAGCTGGCAACTTCTATGTACCTGCAGAACCCAAATTGGCATTTGTCATCAGGATCAGAGGTATCAATGGTGTGAGCCCAAAGGTCCGAAAGGTGCTGCAGCTTCTTCGCCTTCGCCAGATCTTCAACGGCACCTTTGTTAAGCTCAACAAGGCTTCGATTAACATGCTGAGGATTGTGGAACCGTATATTGCATGGGGGTACCCAAATCTGAAGTCAGTAAATGAATTGATCTACAAGCGTGGTTATGGCAAAATCAACAAAAAACGAATTGCCCTAACAGATAACACATTGATTGCTCGCTGTCTTGGTAAATATGGCATCATCTGCATGGAGGATCTGATTCATGAGATTTATACTGTTGGAAAACGCTTCAAAGAAGCTAACGACTTCCTGTGGCCCTTCAAATTATCTTCTCCACGAGGTGGAATGAAGAAAAAGACCACCCATTTTGTAGAAGGTGGAGATGCTGGTAACAGGGAAGACCAGATCAACAGGCTTATTAGGAGAATGAATTAAGGTTTCTACCATGGTTATTTTTATAATCTGGTCAGTTAATAAACAGTGAGTGCTTTAAATTGAAAAAAAAAAGAAGAGAGAGAATCCTTACAGAGCAGGTTCCAGCTCTGTTACTTCTGTGCTTTATGACTGGGCAATTTACATGTTCATGACTTGTCTGTCCCTGTCACTAGATTCCTCATTTGTAAAATGAGATTCAGACTCTTAAAGTTTATATAGTAAACACTTATCATTAAAAGTAATGACTGGTGCTGGGGGAAGGATGGGGGCCTCTGTAATACTTTCAACAATAAAAAATAAGTAAATAAGTAAATAAATAAATAGAATGACTGGTGCTACTCTTATTTTCATACCTCTAAGAGCTTATGTACTGTAGAAGTTAAACATTTTAATTTAATATAAGTTGTAAATCATAAGACTATAAAAGTTATAGATTAGTTTTGAGTTCTTTCAAATTATTGTTTTAATACTTTGTATAGAAATTAATTTTAAAATTGACCTTGATAATGAGCCCTGGCCGGGTAGCCCAGTTAGTTAGAGCGTCATCCTAATACACCAAACTTGTGGGTTCGATACCTGTCTGGGCCCATATAGGAATCAACCAATGAATGCATAAATAAGTGGAACAGCAAATCGATGTTGTCTCATGCATGTGTGTGTTCGCTCTCTCTCCCTCTCTCCCCTTCTCTCCACTCCCATCTCCCTCTCTCCTGCCTCCTTTCCCTTCTCTCTCAAATCAATTTTTAAATTTTTTTTAAATTGACCTTGATGATGAACATGGAGGAAAATAATTGTAAGGTTTTCCCAAGATGCTTTATCCAATAGATTAAAACTTTTTTCCTTTTTTACCAGTTATTTATCAGAAAGTCTGATGCTGAAAGAGAACAGAACTTGCTTGTCACAGTTACTAGATATAATGAAAAGTAAGTAAAAGAACACGTTACAAAATATTCTATAACAAAGCTACTTTGTAAAATATATTGATATTTAACTTGCGATAACAAATTGTTTATATTTACTCTCACTGAGTTATGATATCATGGAGGCATAAAGTATGTAGTGGTTGGGAACAAATAGAAGGTACATGAAAAGCAGAGTTTTTACACATATAGAAATTAAACACTGAGATTCAGAAAGGTTGAGTTTCAAAACAGGATTCTTTCAAAATGTATGCAAATATGTGATAGGCACTGAAAAAGAACTATAGGGAACTAAATTTAAGGATAATAGTTAAATTTAGAACTTTTATTTGTAGAGAAATCAGCGTTAACTAGTTAACACCTGTCATTAGCTGGTCATTTGATTAGTTAATACTACAAAAATTAGTTCTCAACTGGGTGCGATTTTTGCATTTTTGGCAACAACCTGGGGACTGGTGGTGGCTGCTACCAGCATCTAGTAGGTGCAAGTAAGAATGCTGCTAAACATTGTATAATTCATAGAATAACCCCTTGGCAAGCTGAAACATGGCTCTTCAAAAGATAACAATGTCCTAATTCCTAGAACCTATCAATTTTAACATATATGGGGTGGCAGGGGTGGTGGGGTTATGCAGATGTGATAAAGTTAAGGATCTTAAAATGGGGAGATTATCTTGGACTATACAGTTAGGGCCTGAATGCAGGACTCCTTATTAGAGAAAGGCAGAGAGGGAGGTTTGACAGAGAGAAGGCAATGTGAAGAAAACAGAGATTTGAAGATGCTGACCTTGAAAACTGAATAATATGGCCACAAGCCAAGGGATGCTGGCAGCTACCAGAAGCTGGAAAAAGGAAGAAATGGATTTACCCCCAGGGCCTCCAAAGAGAGGGTGGCCTTGCCAACATTTTGACTGTGGCCCAGTGAAATTGATTGCAGACTCCTGGGCTTCAGAACTGAGAGAGAATACTGTTGTCTTAAGCCTTACTAAATTTACAGTAAATTCTATAATAGCCTTAGGAAACTAATGTAGCCCCTACTATCAATAGTGCTGATGCTGAGAAACCTTGTTTTAGGGATTGAGTAGAACTTCCACTTAACTGACTGACTAGATTAGCCAGCCCTCTCCAGTCTTCACTCTTGCCTGTTACACTGAATGATCATGGCTACGTGGCTACTCTTTAGGATTAAAAGTCAATTGTATTTTTTCCCAAAACGTTTTGTGCCAGTGTCCTTGTTAATAAAATTTGTAGTTTAAATGCTGAATAAACAAATAAAATTTGAGATTGAAGACCTTGATCTTAGATGATAGTAGTAAATGAATATAGCTTTAATGTTGTAAAAGTTAAGATGCTTCCTAATATTGAAATGTTATTTCTTGCTGTTTGAAATAACCTTGAGGGCTTCCCCCTTTTAACTGAGAACAAATGAATTTGTGACTTATGAATCATAAAACTGTAGGTCTTTAGTTATACCACTAGAGGGTTCACATCCAAAGCTAATCGATTTGGCCAATAATTAGAATCAGCCCTGGCCAGTTTGGCTCAGCGGTTAGAGCGTTGACCTGCAGACCGGAGAGTCCCGGGTTCGGTTCTCGCGAGGGGCACGTACCTCGTTTGCAGTTTGTCCCTGACCCCAATTGGGATCGTGTGGGTGACGACCACTCGATGTGTCTCTCTCGCATCGATGTTTCTCTTTCTCCCTCTCTCCCTCCTACTCTATCTGAAGATAAATGTAAAATGTCCTCGGGTGAAGATAAAAAAAAGTTAGAATCTTGTAGGTGGAAGGGGCCTGAAAGATAACCTACTATGATCATTTTATAGCTGACAGTTTTATTACTGATTTATTCTCAGCAGCTTAACTTTACTCCACTTATTTTAATATGAAATAAGAATAGCTCTTGCCCTGCCAGTTTGGCTCAGCGGTTGGAGCTTCGGCCCAGTCCCAGGTTCGGTTCCCGCTAAGGGCATGTACCTCGGTTGCAGTTTGTCCCCGGCCCTGGTTGGGGTCGTGTGGGTGGCAACCACTCGATGTTTCACTCTCTCTTTTCCTCTCTCTCTCCCTCCTGCCCTATCTCAAGGTAAATGCAAAAATGTCCTTGGGTAAGGATCAAAAAAAGAATAGCTCTTGATAAAATACTCGAAGCTTTAATAATATTAAGGTATTTCCAGAACAAAGATGATTGTCTATAAGGGTGTTGAGTCACAGTATTAATTCAGTTGAAAACATTGCTTTATTTGCACTGTGAAATAAGTTAGTGGCATAATCACCCATTTGGAGCATGTGGCTGGCTAATAATAAGCCTTGGATCTCATCATTTCCCTGATAAATTTTGAGATATATATTCTTTGGTTTATTGTCATTAAATAATGAACAATTCAGATGGAGTCACTGACATAGTAGTTTGCTTTTACCCTAAAAAGGACACTTTTGTTTTTTTGGTGATGTTTCATTGCATAGGTTCTATATTTTATTAAAGCAAAGGATCATTAATTGACACATTTTTACTCAGCTTACTCCCTAACTTACTGCTTGTTATGTAATAATGGTTTTATTTGTAAATAACAAGTATACTCTTGACCCATCATCTGTACGATACTGTTCTGAATATGGCTGGTGTTAGGGAACAAAGCATGTTCATCAAATCATGTAGGGATTATTAAAAAACCTTGAAACTGAGCAAAAGTGAGTACAGTAGGATTTGAAAAAATACTGACTAGATTGTAGATCGTGGTTATCTTTATGCTATATATAATATGGGCTAAGCAGCAGACAGCTATAATTACTGGAACTACAAGTATGGTGTTCATTGTATCATAACGCAAAATGCAAACCCTAAAAAAGAGAATCATCATTTTAAGAGTGTTTTATCTTGTTCCATAACAATATGGGAAAATATTCAACTCCTTTTTGAGAACAAGGCTCTTTATTTTGTAGTATAAATCCTTTATAAAAATCTCCACATAGGCATGAGAAACTTGGTAAAAAAATATGAACCACCTAGACCTGAAGAAGTTGCTGTTCTGAAACAGAAGTTGGAGAGATGTCACTCTGCTGAACTTGCACTTAATGTAATCACGTAAGTAGTTGTAACTATTATTCAAAAATAGATATGGGAATCCCTGAGTCTCTTCTTGCCCTTTTAATTTTTGGATTCTTTGCAGGTCTGAGATCTCGCCTGAGGAACAAGTATACTGTTCCACTTATTTCTGTTAGCTACTCTAGAAAACCTTGGCATATTTTCTTTCTGTTGTCAACTTTATATTGAAGGCAGAACCATAGGAAAATGTGCTGTTAAATCTTTTTTTGCAGCCATAAGGAATACCCATAATTTCTCTGACTTGTAGGCTGTATGTGGAAATTACCATATTCAGGATCTTAATGCCTTGCAAATTGAAGGATCTACTAAAACCTAATCTTTTAAGAGTTTGAACAGCTGAGAATCTGGGCAGGTAACAGGAATGATAAAACTGCAAACCATGGCTTAGCATAGAACTTAAAATTGGTGGATTTCACTCCTGGGTTTCATTGGTAACTAACAGGAATGAAGGAGTAGTTACAGAAAAGTAAAGAATATTGACTTTAATGAATGAAAATACAGTAGTCTCCCCCACCCTTCCAGTTTTGCTTTCTGCATTTTTGTCACCTGCTGTCCAAAAATATTAAATGGAAAATTCCAGAAATAAACCATACATTTTAAATTGTGTGTGCTGTTCTGAGTAGTGTGATAAAATCTTGCTATGTCCTGCTCTGTCCTACCTGGGATATGAATCATCCCTTTGTCCAACATATCCATGCTGTATGTACAGTACAATAAGATAATTTGAGACTGTATAACTTATTACAGTATTGCTATAATTGTTTTATTATTGTTAATCTCTTAATGTGCCTAATTTAAAATTAAACTTATTATAGGTTTGTATCCATAGGAAAAAAACAGCGTATATAGGGTTTGATACCATCTCTGGTTTTAGGAATCCACTGGGGGTCTTAGAATGTATCCCCACAGGTAAGGGGGAATTACTGAATTGTAGCACTGCCAATTTTCTTTTCACAAGTGATAGAAATGGGCTTAGGCCAGGGCTGGGCAAACTGTTGCCCATGGGCTAGATCCAGACCACTACCTGTTTGTACAAAGATTTATTGGAACATAGCTACACCCATTAGTTGGCATATTGTCTATGGCTGTTTTCACACTACATAAGAGTTGAGTAATTGTGGCTGAAACTGACTTATAGCCTACAAGGCCTAATATATTTACTATCTGGCCCTTAAACAAAAAATTTTTCAACCTCTGGATTAGGCCATGTAAGTATTATTAATCATACCCTTCTAGCTAGGTAACTGAATAGACCCTAGCCTAAAATTCCCAATTTCCAGAGTTGACATCTTACTTAAATTACCATCCACTTTGTACTGTGCCAAGCAAATTCTACATTTCTATGTGTACTTGAGGGGTGCTTCTCAAAATGTAAAGGACTGTTGTTTTTTAATTCATTGCAGACCTATGCTCCTATAAAATACAACAAATTACTAGAAAATCAGCAAAAGAGACATGCAATATAAGCTTAAATTTTATTAGATCCGACAGTCATAATTTATCAAGTTTCTGTAAAAGTTCCTCAATACACACTCAGTTTCTGTCCTTATTGCACACTGGAAATAGTTAATGGACCACACTCGTAAGCACTACTCTAGGATAAAATATTTTCCTTGGTCTTTAAAATTCCTTTATCTTCTTTTATTACACAAGTAATAACTATATCATCATTATGAAAGTCAATCAAAACAAGTAAACCAAAGTTCTCTTTGACCAAAACCCAAATCCCAGTTTCATCCTTAGAGGTAACTTAAGTGTTTGCCAACCTTTTCTCTGCATTTGTGTATGAAATAGTTTTTTTCTTCTTATTGTTTTCATACATATCGTACAGCATTTAATAGTGTCATTCTTTAACTCTTCCCTGTCTGGGTGAAAAAACAGTATCATTAGTATTTTAATTTGCATTTCCCCTAGTCCTTTGAGGCATTAACACTTACATGTTTAACAGTCATTTGTATCTTTCCTGTGTTGCTTATTTAAATCCCTTGTCTGATTTTCTGGTTTTATTTTCTTGATTTGTAGTTCTATATTCTGTTTCTTTCTCTTTGTGATATATAAAGAAATTTGTCATTTGCTTTATGCTTTTACATCTAAATACCTTTTCTTAAGTTAATTTATTTTACCTTTTCAGCTTTTGTTTGTGAATGGTCTGAGGTAGAGCTCTTATATTTTTTCAAATAACCTGTTGTAGCAGCCATTTTCAAATGTTTCATTATCTTTCCTACTTAAAGTACTCATTAATTACAGATTAATAATTTCTATATAGTTTTTTTTTGCTTATCTGTTCTAATCATTTTAATCTGCTTTACTCTTTGCTAATACCACACTTTTAATTACCATAGCTTTTATGTGTAGTATTTTGATGAGAATTGGGAGACAGTCCCCCATACTTGGTCCTTTTGGTATTTTTGCATAATCTCTCCTAGGTCAGAGTTAGACTTGATGAGTTCCATGAAAAATTTTATTAGCATTTTCATTAGAATTACATCGAATTTAAAGATTAATCTGAAAGATAGTCTTCATAATTCTTCATCTCTTTCCATGTATCCAGGCTTTGTTCTTCCGATGATATGCACTATTCCATATAGCCTTGATAATTTACTTTATAGTTATGTTGCCAGTTAATAGATTACTTATTGATGGTTGCCTAATTATAGGAAGAAGAGGAAAGGCTATGAAGATGATGATTACATTTCAAAGAAATCCAGACACGAGGAGGTATGTTCTCCAAAGGTAAATACTAAGTTAGTCTTATTCTGGTGTGACCATACTATTAAGATTTTATTGTTCCAGATTGCAAGCATTATTTATATTTATATATGTGGGTTTTGAAAGCCTTCATGCTTTTTTTTTTTTTTGCAATCTTCATGTACATTGTCCATTATTACAGGGATTTTTCTCACTTCTGTCTTAGACTGTTCTGAAGCAGTATAATAGTTACTTGATGAAGAATCCTTCCTGTGGTAATAAAAAGCAGTATGTTTATACATACTATATACATTTTTGCTTTATTATTTGCTCTCCAAGGATTCTTCTCCTACCCTTAAAAAATTGTACCTGGCAAGTCAGCTATAAATGAATAATCAGAGGCAATAGGTCACAACTATAACCTTTACTCCTGTCATTAGAGTAGTCTGGTGAGACCATGCCATATTACTCTAAGATTAAACAACTACAAATGTTCCTGGCTTATATACCTTCTGTAATCAGCATAGTAAAAGTAGAACATTTTCCTAAAGGGAGGAGGCAAGGAGGTAAAGACTGATTATGTGTCAGTATAATGTTATCCTTACTACATCTTCTTTCCTTCTTAGGAAGAATGGACTGATGATGACCTGGTAGATTCTCTCTAATCATTTGAAACTCATTTGTCAATGCTAACAAGTAACAAGGATGAAGCATATCTGGCATTTAAATTTCTTTAAAAATGAAATAATGTGAAAGCATCAAAATATAGTAAACTTTTTATTTATTTGAAAGTTTTTCTTATAGAATAGCTTTATATGAAATAAAACATCTTCAGGGGACTCAGAATAGCACCTGGTTTGGATAATCTGTCCCTCCATGACCAAAATCAAATTAGTCTTCCTATAGTAGCCAAACCGAAGCTGTAATTTATTTGCCTATGTTGTTTTAGACAAAATCCAAAAAGCGAACATCCCTTTTGAAGAAAGGCACTATAAAAAAACAAAACTTTGTAGTCAGCTTTAAACAAGCTTAAGGAATGCTTTATACCCTCTAGAAACCTTTATATATGGCTTCTCAAATGCCATCATGATGTACTTAGCTATTTGTATGTTATTACTGAACTATGTACAAAAGCTAGTCACCCAGGGTAACAGATACTTGTTTTCCTCAGTTAACTAAAAACATTTCCAAATAGGTTTCTTAAGAAAGAAGAAATCAAAGAGTCTTTAGTAGTTTCTAGATAAAACCTTAAGTTGCTAAAAGTAGCAAACTGTACATTCAATTTTATAATTAACCTGTTAGATTACCCTAAGTGAATCCATATAAATGTGTTATGGTTATTGGAAATTTTTCAGATTACATATATTATTCAATAAATTTATTTCAAATAGAAAGAAGTAGATATAAAAATGTAAGTGTACACACTGTAACACCAAATTACTTTGGTGTGAATCATCACTACCTCTACTTTGTGAGTGACTTTGGGCAAATTACTGAAGCTCTCGGTGCTCATCCCCACCCCACCCCCCCAAGGTGAAAACGGCGAAATAATGCTTATGCCTCATGGGATTAATTTGCCTCTGTATACTAAGTGTTCAATAAATGTGGCTCTTATACCATTTGTTTAATTATTAAATGTAATCTTATTATTCAGTTTCTAAGTTGGAACCAAATTTTGGATGTCAAGTTTTTCTGGAAAACTGGGTTGAAGGAATTCTGAAAAACTCAACTACCCCGAACCTATAAGTTCTATGGATACATAACTTCTCCTCACTGTCAGTGCATCCTGGCTGTGATTTCCATAGGAGTGTAGGTACCATTTTAATTACATCTTAGTATTTGAGGGCAATATTTTTCCTATACGTGTGTTCTTCTCTAATCTTACATTTTAAGTATGAACTTTTTTTTGGTTTTTAGTGTCCTCATTGAAGGAAAGGAACAAAATTCATGAAGTGTGATTTTATAAAAGTGGAGAAGATGCCTAAATTGACAGTCCAGGTTAACTACCAGTGCTGCGAGGCTCCAGCCAGAATTCCAAGCTGTTCATAAATTATCTTGTCTCGTAGATCACTAAACTTTGGCATCAAAGTAAGGCCCATCTTTATCTCAAATTTTCTTAGCCCCACTTTTAGAGGGGTTTTTCCATCATTGACCAGCTAGTTATTACAAGGCCTGCAAAGGTAAATGACAAGTTTCCTATTCCAGCTTAAGAGACAAACATGTCTTTAAAATGCGAAAGGCAGAAGCATTTCAGGTTGAGGAATGGCAGGATGGGTCAGTGTACAGGCTAAAGACTAAGGTGTGATTACTGGGAGGGAACCAAATTACCTAGCACGAAGTTTTGGACCTTTCTGCATAATGTCAAAATAGGCATTTCAGAGATGTCACTAATCCACACCCCTTCCCTGTCTGTTATCTATCCTGTGACACCAAGGAAGGAGACTAAGTTGGATACTACTGTGGTAGTCCCGCTGAAAAGCAGGAGGGATGGAAATATGAGACAAGGAGAAAAAAAAGTACAGGGTGTGCTGAGTTTTTTACCATCACTGTTCAACTGTGATTATAGCTGTACCAGGGCTAGCTGCCTCCAAAGGAATCTTAAATCCTTGATTACCTACCACTGTTTTTTTCCTATATTTTAATCAGAGGGATGGACTATAGGCCCTTAGAAAATTTCTCTACTGTGGGAAATGCCTTCTCTCCCCTACACAATTATGGGAGTGAAGGAATTGTTGCTGAACAAATACACAATGAATGGATTAATGTAATCCTTCCAAAGGAGACTGTTTACAAAACAATGATCTGAACTTTCATCTTCTCTTTGGACCTTGCTCTGATATTAAATTTAAACTGTTTCTAAACAAGGAAGAAAATGAAATTAAATGCTTACCTGTATTTAGACAGAAGTAACCAATTAGTTAATATCCCTTGATTTTATTTTAACTTAACCCTTGTGAATACTTCACAGAAATACACATACAGAAGCAAATAAAACTATACAGTCAAAACTAAATACCCAGCAGATACAACAAGTAGTCAGAAGTTCAAAGATAGATAGCTGTTAAGTGATTCATGAGGTTTGCATAATATAAAAAAAAAATCAACTTGGAATCAATGAATATTTTCAACAAAAAGCATTCTAGGTTTTTTTTAAACACACAAAAGAAATTGGTAATCTAAAATGGTTGAATGGGTAACATGCATCCATCAGTACAATGGCCAATAATAATTATTGAGTTCAAACTGTTTACTGTTGTAAACATTTAACAAAAGTATTATGAGATCTAAATATGGTCTTTGACAGTTTGAACAGATAAGTGGTATGTTTAAAAAATAAAGCTGATGAGCTGTAAGATCAATTTTATATATTTTTCTTTCAACAGTTCCAGCAAGAGAAATAGCACAATATTTTAAAAAAGTATACAGCAAAGATTGTTCCTATTATAATGGCAAACTCTGGAAAATGTAACAAACAAAAGTCATTGAACAGTCAAACGGTCATATTCCTAATCAGGAAGAAGTTACAGTAAGAATAGTCTGCAATCCAGTTATGCTCAATTGTCAACAGAGAGGGTTTTTTCTTGTCAGTTGATTTCATAGTTCGTTTCTGAGACAGCAAAACTTTGGCAATGTATTGAAAATATATTCTCAAAGTTCAAGATACAGTCATAGCATATTGTGGTATGAAAGGTGATCTGTACACCAAGGCTCAGAGATTGGTAAAGATTAATTCCATATGTGGAAAAGTGCAAATATCCTGCACAGAAAGCTTACAAAGCTGCTGGTAGAATTATTCACCAGCAGAATCTAGGGTTTTGTTTGCATAGCTCACACATCACTGGAATGTGGAAAGGTGTGCTATTTTTTGGCAAGAGCAAAGGAGACATACTGATGTGAATTACCATGTTACGCATACTGAATCCGTGCAGAACACTTGGGTGGAGGCTGCTACCTGATGTCATTGGTTTTTGTATATTGGTTTTGTTTCTGTTGAAGCAGTTCTGTTATAGCCAGAAGCTTTTTCAGTACATGCTAGACAAGGAAAAACAGTATGAAAATAATTAGTAAGTGAATGAAAGCTTGGTCAAAAATTTCAGCGATGGAAACCTGAATCTGAAAAAAGCCATAATATTTTGGTTAAGTTAGAATTTTTGTACAATGAAGTGACTAGAAACTCATGTGTTTGGCATTCTCATATCTACTTAGGGCAGGACACAGATTTACCATTATAAATAATACATACATCTTAAGTCCAATAAGATCACATAAGGGTAATCAGTTTGCAGCCCAGTGATCAATTAATGGATCACGAAGGAAACATGATTACATTGGGCCTAAAATGAAAACAAATTATCATCTTTACCTGTCTAATAAGAATTTTAATGTTTAAGACAAGTAATACAATAAATCTAGCCCCAGTATAGCAAGGAGACAATGCACCTACTTAAGTTTATACAGTGATTAGAACCTTAGTGAGCCAAATTATTTTCTTAAACTTGATTTTATAATCTCAGGTTGAAGAAAACTCAGTCCTTAAGGTCCCTGCCAAATGGTTGGCCAATGTAGTGACTTACTCAGGGAGAGCTTATTAGAAATAGCAATTTCCAACATTATACTCTAGAATTTCTGGATCTGGAGCTTGAAATATTTTTATCAAACTTCCTGAATAATTCTCATATGTTAGGGAGTTTGTGAATCACTCGGCAGTGTACTGTGTGTGAGATAAAGAAAAAGCCACATCACTGCTGCCTTACTAGCTCATTTACCATTTTTTCAGTAGAGTTAACCATTAATTTAGATTCAAGAGCAAGATTTGACATTTTGCAGTACCAAAAATACATAATCTAAGCCTGTTATTTCTGTCTGCTGAGATCTTATTGAATTATGGTTCATTCTTAAAAATGCAATGTAACTGGAAAATGTTGACCATAGCTCAGCTACTTACTCCCTCTCGGAGAATCATAAGTGCTCATGAAACATCACTGTTAACAAAGGCTGGTGAAACCTACCTGCTGTGCACCACGCTCATTACTGAGAGTTCTCAGTTCATCTGAATGGGCTACACAAATCTCATGCAATGCTGCTAAATCACGGGACAGGTCAGTTCTAGAATGCTCTGTAGTGTCCGGAAGTTCAGGTACATTCTATAAGGGAATCATGAAACTGCATTCAGAAATATAAATCTTACAAAGTCTCTTCTGAAAAGATCCTAATTGGTTACAACAGAACTTTTTTCACACTTAAGTTCTCAAAATATATTCACATATTCTCTTAAAATTCCAAGGACGTATTGGAATGTTCACAATAGACCCAGGGACATAAATTAGGGAACAGACTGACGAACTTCAGAGGGAGGGGGTGGGAAGAGATAGAAAGCAAAGAACTTATATCCATAATCAATGGACACAGACAATAATACTGTGAAGGTGGTGGGGGACAGGAGTGGGGAGGTGGGTGTCAATGGGGCAAAAAGGAGGGACATCTGTAACAAAAATAAAAACAATGGGGAGAAAAAAAAGGAATGGGATGTTATCAGTTTTAATTCTGCTAAACAGATTTTTGTGACCTTAGTATTCACATCAAAACCAGTTTGATTTCCTTCCACAGCATGGCAGAAAATTGTGCAGTGTTATTGCCATCCTAATAAATAGGTTTCTTAAACTTTATAAGGAGTTTGTTTTGTTTTTTTTTATGTGGAACACAACAATGTTAAGTATTGACTACTAATATGAATTAAATGCAACCTATACTTAAAATTCCTCCACTCTTTCAGACTAAATTTCATTATTAAGATACTGTAGTTTGTCTAAATTTATCAGCATATTAAAGTAAGAGCTACATTATAAAAGTGTGATGAGAACCTGTCAGGTCTATAATTATCTGTGAATTATTCCTAAAACACTTGCTAACATGGAAATGACCAGTGTTAATTATGGTACTTCAGATAAGGTTCACAAAGTAACACTCACTACAGGAAATTGATAGTACTTTACTAGCACTAAATACTGATGTTATTTTGAGCCTTAGAACAAAATTTAACATGGGCTTCAGAATGGTGACAGTATTTGCTATACATTCCCAAACACTGCAAAACAGTGCTCTATAGTATAAAGAAATAAATGGAATATAATTCCTTATTTATTTGGTGAATGAAGGATTATAGAAATGAAAGACACTAATATTTGCCTTCGGAGAGTTTACAGTCTGACATGGCAGAATTAAACTGATCATAGCAACACAGAATTATATGTCACGGACATGTAGAGGACACTTAGAAACAAAAAAGAAATTCAGGTTTAGGGCTCATAAGATATTTGAGGAGAGTTTTGAAAGTTAAGTGTGGTTTATACAGGTAGTAAAGGAATAGAAGAGTATGAAGACACTGGACCAATATTAGAATGCTGGGATTCTAAGCAGTTTGAAAGGCTAGATTACATGTGTGCCATTACTAGTAAAGTGACAGAGAAAGCTGTCACATAAATGTAGACATTTATGATTATGGGAAATGGAGTCCCAACCATGAATCTGAAGAAAACCTAGAAATATGGTTTAGGATAAAATGAGCTAGTCTTACACACAGCTCCTTAACCACTTTTCAGTCACTAACCAACTATTTTTTAGGACCTAGAAATACTTCTATCTGCAAAACTTCTCAGAATTTCACAAATGGAAACATGATGGACACAGCATTTGCTCCTTTATTTCTCTGTTTCATTATAAATATGCAGCTATGCTATACATAATTTTATACGGTGCTTTTTATACCTGAGGTTGCAAACTAGGGACCCACAGGCAGTCTTGGTAGGTTTGACTGCACAGTGTAGTTTAGTGGTAGTTTGTGTTTTTAACTGAATCCAAATGCATTAAAGCAGATCATGTGCACCTCAGTCTCCTACCCTAGCACTCCCTAATGCCATACACCTGTCTAAATTCACATATATATGTTCCCTTCTGGTTTCTATGTATGTGAACTGAACTGCTAATATATATGCTTGGTTTTAAATTCAGTCAATATCTGAAAATTTATAACTTAAAGTAAATTATACTAAGACATCCAGAGTTTTAGAAATTACTTTCTTGCCCAGCCTGCATGGCTTAGTGGTGAACATCGACCCATGCACCAAGATGTCATCAGTTCAATTCCTGGTCAGGGCACATGCCCTGGTTGTGGGCCCAATCCCCAGTGTGGGGCATGCAGGAGGCGGCCAATCAGTGTTCTCTCTCATCGATGTTTCTCTCTCCCTTGCTCTCTAAAAAATCACTAAAGAGAAAAAAAAAGAACTTTCTTTCTTTAAAACCCACTATTCTTAATTTCATAATCAATGTTTTATTCATAAAGGCCCAAGTAAGGCATAGGTAGTCCCACTGACTGAAGTACACCACCAAATCCATGTATTTTATTCCTAGAAAGCCACAAGAACACTCATTATTTTCCAGTCTTACTTATTCATAGAATATGCTCAGAACTGTGGGTCGTCCATCTTGTTTCAAATTCCACACAATAGCAGCCAAGTAAAAGTAGCGAAAGCCGCAAAAGAATGTCAAAATAGTGAGGTGAATAGAATAATGAAAGACAAAACAGAAACTAGAAAATGACACAAATCTAAAATCCCTGATAGTGTATGTTTGATAGAAATAAATTCGTGTAAGAATAAATGGTTAAAACTATAGTCAAACAAGATAATTTGTTTAAGAAGGTAAACAAAAATACGCAGTTTTCTCTTTGTTTTTAGTTCTGGATAGAAAATCTTTTTCAAAGTTGTTGCTAAAATGAGT